AGCCAGATGTTTGGACTGGATTTGGCATTTTTATCCACCTATTGAGTCCTTCCCAAGGACCTGGAATTGGCAAATGTTGTTTGATGGTGCTAAAGGTATTGTCACAGGATGGAAGCTGTTCCAAGTAAAGCTGCCTTTTGCAATTGACTGATGGTGATTTTCTCAATGCTGATGGTCTTCAAGTGGTGCTCCAGATGTTTTGGAATTGCACCTAAGGCGCCTATTACTATTGGTACTAACTGTGCTTTCTTTTGCCACAGTCGTTCTATTTTTACTTGCAGGTCTTTGTATTTTGTGATTTTCTTCAGTTCTTTCTCTTCTATTTTGCTGTCTCCAGGTTTTGCAATGTCGCCTATCCAGACTTTTTTGTCTTTCTTATCAATCATTGTTAAGTCTGGGGTGTTGTGTGACAAGTGCTTGTCTGTTTGAATTCTAAAGTCCCAGAACGCTTTAGCGTCTTCACTTTCTATTGCTTTGTCTGTTTTGTGGTCCCACCAGTTCTTGCTTGCAGGCAAATGGTATTTCTTGCAGATCTTCCAATGCACCATGGTTGCTCCTTTGTCATGCCGTTGTTTGCAGTCTGTCTGTGCGATCTTCTTGCAGCAGCTGACTAGGAGGTCCACTGTTTCTTCAGCTTCTTTGCAGAGGCAGCATTTGCTGTCTGTTGCTCTCAATTCTGGCTTTGTATGCATTTGTTCTTAAGGCTTGGTCTTAAATTATTAAAATATAAATTATTATTATTAATGTGAGCGTGTCCCACTATCTTCTTGTTTTATTGAATAACATTTATTATATTAATATAGTGTGGGGATGAAAAATACAGTTTAAAGTTGCTAATATAATTTTATATACCAAAGAATTGGAATTCATCATTATGTGAAGAATTAGGATTTACCAAGCATGAAGTCTTACAAAAAAATTACTCTTTTCCTGTAAAGAAATATAGAGGTGACTTAGGAAAGAGATGAAAGGACCACAAAGAGAGACTTGCAGAAAAGTCCAGAGATTTCTTTTTATTTTATTTAAACTATATAGTCACCCATCTCTAGGCAATATAACCTTTTCTGTGAGTCCCTTCTTAACAGTTCTTTAACACCTTCCCCAAAATTCTCTTTATATTCCTTTACATTAACTATGGGAAAACATTGCTATCCTAGGTTTATAATCCTGAATTGATGTTATCTGCACATTGTATGCTCATGAACTGGCTTTTTATTTATATAATAGAAAGATTGATTAATATATTCCATATGGTCAAGATTTAATGCTGTGTTTTAAAATTCACCTGTTTCTTTTTTATTTAGCTTGTATGTTTTTATTTTCCTGTTTGTCACTTCTTTCCTTTCTGTTTGTATGTTAAAACAGTAACAATTTTTTAAAGGTTCTACCTTCTAGTCTTCAGGAGAACCCAAAAGGCCCATATTTTCAGGCTGGCTTGTAATTATATTTAAATGGGTCTAATATAAATTTTATATTGATTTTAATCAATATAATTTGTTGTAATGTGCTTTAATGATTTTACCTTTAATGTAAATGGCCCTGCGCCATTTAGGAAAGGCAGCATAAGAATGAAATTCATCATCATCATTGGTATAAGCCTGGATTTTTTCCAGGAAAATAAATTTACATGTGATCCAAGCGATTGCTCACTTGGCCCATTGCAAGAAAAAATTGGCTTTACAAAGGTTGGGATTTATTAATGTTGATTGCTCCCCACCCCTATGTGAGTGCCTTTTGACATCTCAAAATGTCAATGATTTGGTCCATGTATCCATTAAGCTAAACTAGATAAAGAGAGATTATCCCTATTAATTTCAAAGCCAAATCATCAGGCTAAATCACAATGTTACCATATTTTCCTCTTTTTCTTTTTCCTTTCACTTACACCTGGAACTCCCCTTCCAGGTCAGCCTCTCCTTTTTTTCCCCCCCTTCAAAGATGCGGACTTAATCCTGATCCAAAACAGTGTGGTACGGTATATTCAGACCCAGATGGATTTTGCATGTTGTGCTTGATTTGCTCAATTATCTTATTCCCCATGCTGGCTGGGGAATTCTGGGAGTTGAAGTCCACATGCCTTAAAGTTGTTGAGAAACACTGGCTTTGAGTATCATGTAAATCCATCCATGTTCTTGGATTAGGTCTGTAAGCGTGTTTAACATTTGCTTCTGAAATAAATGTTTGCTTATTCCTTTTTCTAGGCCTAGTTTTATGCTGAAAGCCACTTTGGTGTAGTGGTTAAAAGCACTGGGCTAGAAACTGGGAGATTTTCTGGTCCTGCCTTAGTCATGAAGGATAGTCCCTCTCTCTCAGCCCTAGGAAGAAGGCAGTGGTAAACCACTTCCAAAAATGTTGCCAAGAAAAATACAGGGACTGGTCCAGGCAGGCACCAGGAGTCAAGACTGACTTGAAGGTGTGTGTGCACTCACACACAAATTACACTGCTGTTAAGATTTTAAATTTATTACCACATTTATCACTTGTAGATCACAGCTCATGCATGCATCCAGGGAAGTGAATTCAGTCCATGAAAACATTTATGTATTTATTTACGCAATTTCTGTAGCTGCCCATCTCAATCCGAGGGAACACCCTCAAGTTAAAGCCATTAAAACAATTACAAATTAAATTAATCTTAATTTACTTTTAAGTTACGTCTTAAAAGTAAGACATAACTTAATTTACTTTTAAATTACATCTTAAATTACTTTTAAGTCTTTAACATGCCACAAAATGTTTGCTGCGTACCTGGGGTGCTACAGAAACAAAGCTCAATCTGTAACCTTACCGTAATGAGATTCTCATAGACGTTGGAATAATTGTTGGGTTTCTAATGAAACCCTTAGTGGACAAATAGGACAAACTGGGAAGGGGCAAACTTTTAAATATTCTGGACTCTAGTTCAAGACCTTCCTTCTTTTACCTGATGCCCTCCAGATGGGTTGGGACTATAACCACCAGAATTCTTGACCAATCCCAACTTATGGAGAAGGTGCCAGGTTGGTGAGGCTGGACTTCAGTCTCTTATATTTCATTCCACAGGCAGAAGTGTGGAATAATGTAGGTATTTCCCCTTTTATATATACTTAACTTGTTCTTTTTAAATGTATACTTAAATTGTTTGCTTGATGAGATGCTCTAGAAGACCAACCTTCCTTAGCATTTCTGAATATATGGTTTTGGTCTTCTTCCCTAAAGCAGCACTGATCTTTTGAATCCTTCTTTTGCTGCTGCTCCTTCTGACAAACCTGGCTGCTGCTGAGGGGAGACACTTGCCTCTTTGTATTCTCCCGAGATTTTTTTTTTAAAGGCCTTAGAATTGGCACAAGGAGTCTTCTGTCCATTTGCTGAAGGGGGGGCTTGTTGCCCCTTTTGTAGAACAAGGCCTGCATTACGCAGGTTGTGTGACTCCTTTGGGAGGGAGCTTGGCTGAAGCTAGTGATAGAGCAAAGTGCGGTACGTTCCGCAATAATAATCAAGTTATAATGGTTTCTGTCTTCTCCGGACTTCAGTAATTATGCACTTATGCAGTGCATAATACAGACGTGTGCCAACAGCCTTTTATTTTAGCATCGCTTTCAGATTATTATTCTTTTTATATACAGTAGCACATTCCACACACACTTTTTAAAAACTAAGCAGTAAATGCTGCTCTGCTCCAAAGAGATTGCGGAGTATAGTTTAACCCAGAAGGCATACACTTGTCTGTTTTGAATTTATTTTTATTTCTCACCTAGAGACATAATACTTCTTAGAATTCAGGAAAAATGCGGGCAAGCAAAAGCTGAAAAATATTGAAATGAATGTAGTATATTTTAGGTCCCTTTATAGCTATACAATTAGTTTGTTGCTTTATAAAATGTTATGAATAACTTGGTTTACTTCTAGTAGTAGCAATTGAAAGGTATACTTTTTAAATTATTAATTCATTGGTCTTATTTAAAATGTTTTAAGTAACCTCTAATTTTGTTTTACAAATGGAGATACACGTTGTTGAAAATTAAGGAATATGACGTCTCTTTATTTTGCCCCTTTAGGAGAAATAAATGTCAGTATTGTAGAAAAATGAAGAAAGTTAGGTGTTCTGGGCTTTCGCCTCCAGTGCACCAATTCAACACAGAAAGAATTATTTTTCAGAAAACAGCCAAGAAAAAGCCAAGTCTGCAAATAAACATTGTGTCATGCAAAATATTCATGAACCTGAAGATCTATTTGTAATTTCTCCTTTTTTCAGATCTGTTCTCATTTCAGAGATTTTTGTTTGTAGTGGGAAAAGCTTTTCTATCATGTCACTTGTTGGTTTATTTCTTCATTTGGCATGAATACTTCCAAACACAGGCCAGGTTCTTTCACATCTTAACCTTTTGGGCAATGTTGCTGAAAAAAATGATTGCCTTGAGTTCCTGAAAAAAGGGACTCTAATTTCTATTGTGAGGTGGTAATATACAGAAACCAGAAGACTAGAATAGTCTTAATAAGGTTTAATGTGGGCTTATTAAGCACCACCCCCAAACCTGGGGGGAAAAAACCAGAAAATTCTGGTCCTATCAACGTGTGCAATGGGACCCCGGACCTGCCCACTGTGGCCCTTGGACCTCTCCAAAGGCTGTTACGTGCAAGCAATGAAAATACAGTGCAAAGTTTTTCATGAAAGGGGCAGGATTTGAATAAGATGCGGAAAGAGGTCTTCTGGGAAACCATGTTGCTTGAAAATAAATCTTCAGTGGTACTGGTTCATGAAGGGGTTTAGGATCTCTGGATTGGCAGCTGAAGGGGTAGGATCTGGCCCAGTGATGGCCAGTTGCTGACTCATCATTGAGAGGTTTTGACAAATTGAACCCTTCAGCCTCCTTGTTTTATCAGCGCTGAATCTTTTGGCCACCTGAGTCAACAACATGGGAAATGGAGGCCTAACCTCTACCTGGACTTACATTTATTTTCCTCTGTTATAGACCCAGCATTTCATGACTTAACACTTTCTTACAAGGCACCTGAAGAAGGAATGGCAGGTAAAATTCTACTGGAACAATTCAAGTTTTCTCTCTCAAAGCTAAAATTGACTTAGATGACAGCTAGAGAAACCTAGGCCCCATTGAGCTATATCATGTATGGAATAATATGAATATCTTTCTGTTAAATATGTCACCTCCAAAGCTACTTCATTCATTGTTGCATTGCCTAAAATTCTAACATAATGTTGCTTAGGTGATCACGTTCAACTGTTTCTCTTTGATTTGTTTTCCCCAATAACCCTGCAGGCTTGCTTGAGTATTTATTTTGAGACTGATTTGCCGTTCCAATTACTAAAGTTGCCATTTCCTCTGTAATGCAGCAGATTTTTATTCTCTTTGTAGAGAAAGTGAACAACTTCCCCCCACTTCCTAAATTTATCCCGCTGAAACCGTGCTTTTACCAGAACTTCACTGATGAAATCCCAATTGATTATCAGACTCTGGTGAGGAGGATCTATCGCTTGTGGATATGTAAGTTCAGCTGTATTGTAAAGCGCATTCACAGGGACAGTTGAGGGGGGGTAAAAATGCAGCCCAATATCTTTTTGAGTTAGGTTTTCAGTTTTGTTTTTAAATAGCAAGCTACCAGTCCTTATGTGTCAGCCTTGCCAGGTAGACCAGACAGGAAACATGACCAGATGAGCTAACTCTACTTTATTGTAAAGCTTTACTAACAGAATCTTGCAAGTCTGAAAGTAGAAATCTCCTGCCATCTCCTTTACAACCTGAGAAGTTAGGGAGGGTCCCTTCTGAGCCTCTTTCTCCTCCCACGCGGGCTATGCCTCTCTTATCTGACCGCTCCCTGGGCGGCATCTCTTCACCCCATTTCTCAAGGTCTTTCTCACATACCATTACATTATGGATGTAGAGTGGAAGGTGAACACAAAATTTAGTAAAAACTTCAATCCAGACAAATGGCAGGTTAAGACTTCCAGGGAGATGAAAAGATATTTTGCAAAGATGTATATCTAGTTAATCTTGCAAAATATATGCAGAACATTGGCAAAGATCATAATGCATGATTTATCCTGCAAAATTCATGGCTAAAAGGCTAGAAGGATTAGATCAGTCTTTTCTTATCTAGCCTTTCCAGATGTGTTGGTAATGCTGTTCCCCAAATCTGGCAGGCAAGAGGTTATAAAAAGCAGGATTAAACTAATAATAGTTAATTGATTGATTATATGCCATCAAGGCAGTACCAACTCTCAGCAACTACATTAGATAAATCTTCTCCAGGATAATCTGTCCCCAACCCGGCTCTTCAGGTCTCCAAATAGTCCACCTGTTGTTTCTGTAATTGAGTCCCTCCACCTTGCTGCTGGATGCCCTGTTCTCTTTCGTTCCACCTGTCTCAGCATTGTGGACTTCTCAGAAGTCTAGGGCTTTGCCTCATGGGTCCAAATAAGAGTTAGAAGAGGTGATTTACTGATGGCTCTTCATCCGGGTGTCCATGTTTAGAATAGTCTTTTCTGGGAAGTAAGTGAATCAACAGGATGAGGCTGTTTCCTTCATGCCCTTTTCGGGGTTTTCCAAAAATTTTGTTGTTGCCAGCCAAAGTCTGATTTAAGAAAGAAGATTAGCTTAAATCTACTCCAGCAAGAGGGCTATTTCTTAGACCAGAGTTGGTGTTGGTAAAGGATTGAACTTGGCATTGTCACTGTATAAAGCAAGCACACCTGAACCCATCACATTGGAAGCAGCCATGTAACCATCTAATCCAGCCTTTTCTTAGTTGATGGTCTCCTCTGGGAAATCCGGACAGGCTAGACTTCCAGGGATTCTGAGAGCAGAAAAGCACCCATATGGAAGGGGCAAGGCTGGGGAAAGCTGGTGTAGGCTATCCCTCTTTCAATGCAGGGAATCCAAGTTAGACTAGTCCAACAGATTGCCCAGAGTCATGTACTTGAGATGGGGGGCTATATAAATTCTATAAACAAATGAATAAATAATGTCCAGCCTCTTTTGTGAAGACCTCTTCTGAGAGTAGGACTTCTGGTCCTTGGCTAATTGCCTTTATTGCCAAAGTACTGTTTAGAGAAGCTTTCCTTAGCAGTCCTTCAACATTCACCCTCCTGTAATTCACTGAGATCCAGTTTCTCCACTAAGCTTTCAAACTCCACACATAAATACATCGCTTTAAAATGCCTTGGATTTTCCCAGTGCTTTAAATGTCTCATTCTTTTCCTTCCATAGTTTACTGCATCACCTTGGGTGTTAACCTGATTGCTTGCCTGGCTTGGTGGATCGGTGGTGGAAGTGGTTCCAATTTTGGCTTGGCAATCCTTTGGCTTGTCCTCTTCAGCCCCTGTAGTTATGTCTGCTGGTTCCGGCCAGTCTACAAAGCCTTCCGGTAAAATCTCACATCAGTGTATTTGTCTTTTCTTAAAATCCATAATCAGAGCTCCAGGTCTGGTGATGCAGAATAAGGACATGAGTTGAAGCAGCCTTCCTTAACCATACCCCGAAATCTTACTTCAATATTTTGATCAGGGAATTGAACACCTTCCGAGAAGAAAATGCAACAGTTGGGGCCATTTAGTTTATAGAAAAAACACAAGGAGGTTTATAAAATGACGCACCATAAAAAAAATGGGTGAGCAGGAAGACCTTTTACCCATAACGCTACAATTAGAGGCCACCCAATGGAACTAATTAATAGAATTATTCTCCATTATTTCACTTCCTTGTGTACTAAATTTATGTTTCTTCTCTTCTTCCCCATCTCTCCCCCAGGTCAGACAGCTCTTTTAATTTCATGGCATTCTTCTTCATTTTTGGAATCCAGTTTCTCCTGACAGTCATCCAGGCAATTGGTTTCGGTAATTGGGGAGCATGGTAAGCAACGTAGCTGATTTCTTATGCATCTTCCATTCCCCCCCCCAATTAGTTTTTAAAAAATCTATCTACCTATACATAGAAAACATTGATGCTGTGACATCTAATTGGTTTAATTTCATAGATCAGTGCAATGGTTCTTAACATGTCATAACTTAAGTCCCACTTGTCCCTTTATTAAAGAACCCAGATCTTTAACAAAAAGGCCACTTTTTCCAAGGAAGATGTACAACTTTACAGGCATTCTGTTATCGATCTTGTAGGGTAGTGTTTCTCAACCTTGGCCACTTTAAGATGTGTGGACTTCAACTCCCAGAATTCCCCAGCCAGCATGGTTGGTTGAGAAGGTGGCCAAGGTTGGGAAATACTGATGTAGAGTGAGTTTAAGGACCCTAAGTGCTAATTGCTAATTGTTTAAGAGAATAAAGATTGCAGTAAAGCTGTCAACAATACTTCTTTAACTGTAAATAGCTGTTAAATGGGCTGATGCAGTCTTTATCAGTTTGGAGCAGTTCTTCTAAAGCCAATCAAAAGATACTTCCGAACAGTTAGGGAGGCCTCAGTAGTGCAAAATATTGTTTTGTTTTTGCTCCTTTTTTATATATAGACAGTACATAACTTTATATACTTTTATATATAAGAGAAAGATAAAAACTAACAAGAACTAATAATTAGAATGAAGAAAGAAGGAAAAGGAAAGAAATAAGGAAAGAACAAGCTAAAAATGCAGAAAGGCAAAAAGAAAAAAATTATAAAGAAATGACTTCTGATTTTCTTTTACATGGTTATAAATATAAATGTAAATTAACCTCTTACACTATGGTTACAGCATTGCATACATTTTTTCTATAATCTATTTTTTTTCTAATCATCAAACCGTACATCATAATTTCATTTTTTTCTCTGTTTCACACAAAAAGTCAATCAGGGGTTTCCAGTCAGCATTAAACTTAGACAGTGTCTTATCTCTAATTAAAGCTGTCAATTTGGCCATCTCAGAAGTTCCATCATCTTCACCATCCATTCCTCCATTGTGGGTAATGTTGAGTCTTTCCACCTTTGTGCATATAATAATCTTGTTGCAGTTGTCATATCCAAAAACAAAGTTCCATGTTTTTTTCTATATTAATCTTTAAAATCTTCTGTATTATTATATGTAATGGAGTCCAAAATTTTCTAGCTTTTTTACATGTCCACCAAGCATGATAAAAGTTTCTTTTCGCTTCTAAGCCCAAACCTGTTCTAATGCCACTTTACATCACAACTGCGGGACCTGCACTGCTATTGGCATATTTGTGAGTGCAATTCAAGATGATGGTCACCATCTTTAAAGCCCTGTATGGTTCAGGGCCTGGATATCTGAGAGACCACCTTTCTCAGATAGTATCTACTTGTCTGCCCCAGGCAACTGTGGAGCACTTATTAAGGGTCTCCACCTAGCAGAATGTACAGCTGTTGTGGAACATGTTGTCTCCAGAGGCAAGGGTGGCCCCCATTCCCATGACCTTCTGAAAGCTGGTAAAAACCTCGTTTCCTGAAGACCTTTGAGGATTAGTTGTAGACCCACTGGTGTCTCATAGTCAATGTATCTATTAAGAAACCTGTAATTTTTTATTGTTCTTACTGTATTATTATTATATTTTAATAGTCCCTCTGAATTGAGAAGGAATAAATTGCATAAATAAATGTATCCTCATAGAATCCTAGGGTTGGAAGAAACCTTGGAGGTCTTCTAATCCTGTCCAGGGCAGGAATCCTGAGAGCATCTCAGACAAATGACTGGCCACCTTTTGCTTGAAAACCTCCAGTGATGGAGCATCCATGACTCCAAGAGTTTGGCTCTCCCTCTGTAATACTTCCACCCATTGCTTCTGGTCCTGTCCTTGGCACTACAGAGAAGAAATCCACACCTTCTTCCCTGGGACAGCCCTTCAAGTATTTGAACGTTGCTCTCACGTCCCCCCTTTGCTATCTCTTCTTTAGGCCAAATGTACCCAGTTCCTTTAACTGTTCTTCCTAGGGTTTAGCCTCCAGGCCCCTCGCCATCTTTGTTGCTCTTCTCTGCATTCTTTCCAGTTCCTCAACATCCTCTTTGCATTGTGATGACCCAAACTGGACACAGTATTCCAGGAATGGTCTAACCAGGGCAGCATAGAGTGGTATGATCACTTCCCATGATGTTGACATTATGCCTCTGTTAAAAAAGCTGTTGGCCTTTTTGGCAACTGCTGCACACTGCTGGCTCAAGCTTAAGCTGTGGTCCACCTGGACACCCAGATGTTTCTCAAGTGCTACTGCCAAACCAGGTTCTACCTCTATCTTGTACCTATATATGTGTTTTTTTCCCCCTTATGGTTCTTAACTGTAGAAGCTTACATTTCTCACCAATGAACAGCATTTTGTTGGATAGAACCCAGTATTCAAGTCAATCAAGATTCTTTTGAAATTTGAGCCTGTCTTCTGAGGTGTTAGCAATCCCTCCCAGCTTGAACTCCAAGAAACATTCTTGCAAGGCACTCCATTCTCTTCGTCTCAGCACATTCCATTAGAGATTGGCAGCTCTGCCCCTTCCTCTGCTTTCCTCTTCCTCCCTCTTGGGGGCTTTCTGATTTAGGAAAGCAGAATCATGTCCCACCAAGCCTACTGCTCTTGGTGGGACATGATTCTGCTCAATGGCCATTAATTGAGAAATTAATACTCTAAATGGAGTATTCCAAGTATTCTGAACTATTTTGAAAATTACGTGTTCCTCATTTCCCAGTCACACATGTCTTTAAAAATGACATGGGTTTTATTTTGATTTTTTGTAATGCAAACATTGACAGTAGTTTCTTTCTGAATCTGAATGAATTACAGGTAAGGTAGGAAGCTTTCAGCTAACCATACTTTCCTGGTTGAGCTGAAGCAGGTAAACTATGATAGTTGTTTTAAGTATTCTAGCTTGTTCCAAACTGTGGTTAACATCCCGCTTTGCTTCCATTTGGATGGAAGGTCGATGCCTATTTGAACAAAACAATCATCTCCGTATGTCTTGGCCCAATAAAGCAGGGAAATGTTTTGTGAAATTGCAACCTTCTTTCCTCTTGATCTCTTTCAGCGGGTGGATGGCTGCCGTACTTTTCTTCAGCACCAGTGTTGGGGCTGGTGTGGTCATGCTGTTCCCAGCAATTATGTTCACCTTGTGCGCTATTGGGATGTTTATATGTCTCATCCGGGTGAGTCAGAGTTTTTGGGGATTTTGTGGTGCATCCTGTGCCTCTCCATGTTACAGATGGGGACTCAGGGGCCGGGGGATGCAAAAGAGGGTTGCTCTGGAGCTCCATTGAGCACAGCTATAAAGCCATCATCTGGGCACCACATAATGCTCTGCTGCTTCTGGTCCCCTACTGCCCCGTCCCCAACTTACAGGGTGTGCCAAAAGGCCCCAAAGATAATTTATTATATAAATTGCATTAAATGTTTGAATTGCTTGCCGTTTTCTTCTAAAAGCTTCCTTATTCGTTTGACACATGACCTTTGAACATTCCTAAGTACAGTAACATTTTCTCTGAAAAGAACCTTAATTAACAAAATTAATAAAACATATTGTGCTGGGCCTATGGGGCCTAACTTTTGGTACATCCTGTATATACTTACAATGAATTGCATGCCACCTGCTTTACACTTTGCTTTTGTTATTTGCTGTTTATTTATTTGCTTGATTTTATGCCACCTTTAGTTTAGTCAACTCAAGGCAGCGTGCATACCTCATGTTCCCACCTATTTTCAACCCAGCAGCAACCCTGTGAGGCAGGTTGAGGAGAGGGACTGGCCCAAAGTCACCTGCTGGCTTCCATGCCCAAGGAAGGGCTAGAACTTACAGTCTCTGAGTTTCTGGTCTGGTGCCTTTAACCACTACACAAACTCTCTCTCTCATATTGATATTTTTTATTGTGTTAGCTGCCTGGAATAGCTCTGTGAGATGGGCGGCCATATAATCCTAAATAATAACAATAATACTTGTACTACTCTAGCAATAATAGTACTACTCTTTTTTATATATACTGTCTTGGTGGCTTACCAGAGTATACATAAAAAACTTCCATAAAATCCAAATGTTAAAGTCTTTTTTACAAAAATCTTTAAAAATCTGGACTATGTTCCACCTTACTCCCTCAAAGCAGGGTCTGGAAGGCAGCGTCTCCAACTGCAATCTAAAGAATAAAGAGTAGGGGCGTAACTCCAGGCTAAGGCAGTGTTTCTCAACCTTGGCAACTTGGATGTGTGGACTTCAACTCCCAGAATTCCCCAGCCAGCATGTGTGAAAGTGTGGCTGGCTAGGGAATTCTGGGAGTTGAAGTCCACACATCTCAGAGTTGCTAAGGTTGAAAAACACTGGGTTAAGCTGATCCAGAGTGAGGAGGCTGTGCTGAGAATAACATTTCCCATGTCCCCACCACACCCCCGATCTCTCTGGGGGCAGCTACTCCCAGCATCTGCTCCAGCCCCACATTCAACGGTAGTCTAACTCAGTGGTTTCACACTTTTTTTCAGGCTGCTAAGCTTGTTAGTGTTTTAAAAAATATCCTGGGATCTCTGCTCAAGAAGCAAAGTTCTAGTGCTAGGATATTGGTTGTGCTCAAGTGATTTTTTTTGGCTTGGCCCATAGTCTTTCCCGGCACCTCAACAAGTTCTCACATAACGCAAGGGCTCCACAGGACACTTTTTGGAAAACCTTGGTCTAACTGAAAGATGACAAAGGCCTCAGTCACTGTCTTTCATGCCTCTCTTTGTCTTATTTTTCTTTATGGTCAGAGGGCATATTCCCAAACGAAGCAGAAACTGTCGCCTGAAGTATTCTTGGCCATAAAGATTATGCTAAAGGCTGGCATTTTGCTTTGAAACCTTTCAACCTCCAGTTTGGTTAACACAGTGAAACTGAGTGGGGCAGGAAGCCTGGCATAGGTGTCCACAGATACCACGTGACCTATCCAACTTTAATTCTGGGTTAGAGAAATATGTGTCTGGGTTTTTCTGTTCTGGAGCCAGGGACAAGTGGGAATTGATGGTAGACAGTCTCCTGGGGCTGAGGACCCATTTTCTGCAGAATCTTCACCAGTTGCCACAGCTCAAAATGACAAGGTGGACATTTAAAAATCACCCAGTGAGATCTCAGTCCCTGTGTCTCAGACTAAACATTCTCCCTGCATCCCCATCTCTGATTCCTCCATTTTTTTCTTAAACCAGGTTAGAGGGAAGAGAGTCAGGGCTTTGTCAGAAGCGCAGAATGGATGTCCAACAGGAAGAGCACCATTCCTACTCTCTCCCTTTCTCTTTCCCACCAGGTTCACCGGATCTACCGTAGTGGGGGTGGAAGCTTTCAGAAAGCCCAGACCGAATGGCAGAGCGGATTGTGGAGAGATCCTCCAAGCAGAGAAGCCCAGCACAGCAACTTTTCAGGAAACAGCCTCCCTGAGTATCCAACTGTCCCCAATTATGGAAATCCCTGGTCCTGATCCTGGCTGCTTGGGCTGTTCAAGTAGTTTGGTTTGAGTCGTTGCAAGAAACACATTACAATCCTCATTTGCTTTCTCTCTCTCTCTCTCTCTCCCTCTCTCTCTCTGCCTCCCTTTCTCTCTCTTTTTCTTTTGAGGGGTGGTGCTCTTTCTTCCCCCAGCCATGTTTTTATTTGTGATTCTCCTTTTGGATGGCAACCGCTTGTGCCAAGACATGGCTGTTGCCCCTGTTTGACTAGCCCTATCTTTCCTGAGAGGAATCCCCTTCTCTACCCCAGCCTATATCACTGTTGCCAATGGATGCACAAGGAACAGGATAAACTGCCATTTCTATTCGACTGCCTCTTCGTTTTGAGAGAGCAGCAGTTCACTGCCAGGGTCCCCTGAAGATTTTGGGAAGATGGCTTAAACTTCTCCCACCTTTTCCCTGCTTTCGGTTTGTTGGTGTGCTAATGCTGGCTCCTCATGTCTTTGGGGATCCTGCAGCTCTAGAGGTTGTTGTGAAAGGAAATACGGGATAGGCGCAGAGAGCAGATCGTTCATTACGACAACTATTTTTGATGGTTGCTGCTGCCAGAGCAGGAGTTGCGTAACAGAATCCTTCTCCCAGGAAGACAGTTCCTGGAAATAGAAAGTTAGCAGCACAGTGAATGTTCTAGCCTAGCCTTCCCTCTGAACTGCTAGCTTTCTGTATTGGAGAACTGTATTCCGGGGGTGGGGGTGTTCAAATATGGCCCCTGCTTTCCCAAAATAGGAGCCATTTTCCTGGAAGCTTTGATCTGTTAATGATTTTGCCAAGATAGGACTTTGTTTTGTTTGGAATATGTTGCTTTATGCTGTTTTTCCCCACTGCTGGCTATTAACTTGCTTGCTAAAATAGAAACTTTGAAGATGATGCCTATAATCTCCCCAAGCGTTTTTTTTTTTTTTTAAAGTCTTTTGCTGGTCCATGCCTGTCCCTCTGGGAAAAAATATTCCCATAGTTGAACCACAGAATTCTTTTCATTTCTGGTCCTGGCAGATCTAGTTCTGTTGAGACTTTCTGCTTCACCCCATGGTGGATGGGTGAGAATCTGCAGAACGTCAAAACCCAGAGTCAGGCTGCATCTACAGCTATTTGTTTCCTCAGATTCTTTGGGGATGTATAGTAGCCGCTGAGTGCAAGGAGCCTTTATATTTGTCTACAGCAGTGTTTCTCAACCTTGGGAACTTTAAGATGTGTGGACTTCAACTCCCAGAAT